AGAGAGAGAGAGAGAGAGAGAGAGAGAGAGAGAGAGAGAGAGAGAGAGAGAGAGAGAGAGAGAGAGAGAGAGAGAGAGAGAGAAAGAGAAGAGGGAGGGAGGGAGGGAGGGAGGGAGGGAGACATATGAGGGAGATGCCATAGCCTGTCCACAGAGAGAAGCGTTGCTGAGACTTATGTTTCACTGATAGGGATGGGGGTGAGGCAGCGCACAACTTTGGAAGGCCAGCATTATCAAATCCAGACCCGCGTTGATATCCATTGCGCAGGCCTTGGTTGGCCAGCAGCAGAGTGGAATCGACTCGGAGAGTGAGATTGTACTTCGGAACAGGAGGTGGTGTGTGAAGAGGAGAGTGAGATAGTACTTCTACAGGTACTGGACGATAGGGAAATGGCACTTTGAGCTGGCGATTGAGAAGGAGAAGCCTTGTGTAGAAGTGACTCTTGAGTTATCTTCTCCCTCATAGCTTGTCATGTGACACCTTTGAGCGGGCCCTCAAGTTTTTGAGTGCCACTGAATCCCGCGCTAAAAGCCGCTTGAGCGGGGTTTGAGCGGGGGCGCCGGAACATTTTTTCTCGGGTGAAAAATACGCAAAAACCAGAATAAAAAATATAGGGTTGTAGATCTTTTTGAGATCTACAACCCCATAATTTTTATTATATTTTTTTAATCTTCTATATTTGAAAAAAGAAAACACACAAAAAAACAAATTAAGAAAGAAAACAAAAAAAAAAACACGAAAAGAAACTTCAAAAAAGATGAAATGGGTGGGTTTTTCTTTTTTTTCACAGAGATTTTTTCGCGGGCAAACAATAAACAAAAAAACAAACAAACATAGGGTTGTTGTCTTGTAGATCTTTTTAAAAAAAAAGAAACAAAAAAGGGCGACGGCCTTGAGATATCATCACTGAGCTGACCGGCCCCAGGCAATTCAGAAATTATTTGGTTTTACTCATCAAGTTCCATCATCTGGATTCGAACTCGGGTCTGTAATTCAACAGTTCATGGGTGTACCCACTGAGCAAGGCTCTTGGGTAGTCTTGTAGATCTTTTGGAGATCTGCAACCCCATTTTTTTCTTGTTCTTTTATAAAGCTCATATGTATTTAAAAAAATCAAAAACAAAAAAAAGCAGAAAAAAAGACACACACGGACACCCTCCCCCCCCTTACACACACACACACACACACACACACACACACCCACACACAC